TACCTATGTCGAAAGATATTTGCGCCAAATGTCTGTCCTCATTGAAGAAGAATAAGAAGGCTTGAAGTCAGCCAGTTCGTTTCGAGCTTTGTGTCCAAGAGGGGGTGAAGAAATTCCATGTCGGGATGTCCACCTCGCTCGATGCTTGCAGTTTGCGACGCATAAATTTCGCTTAAGTTTGTTTGTGAAAGATTTGGAACCTGGCGGTAGTACAACATTTTGTTTTGTAATTGTTTAAAAGCGACTTGTAGCGTAGTCGGAAGTTTTGAAAGAGTTCTTTGTGTGTGGAGATACTTTAAGAGATTTTTAATATGTTTTTCGTGTGTTCTTTGTATAGTTTAGTGCTACGGGATATATTTTGGCTCAAGGCCAATTCGTTTGGCTAGTGTGAGAAAAGGGTGCGAGTGTCTGAGAGCAGCTTGTGCAGCGTTTGAAGTTTTCCGAAGTGTTCGGAAGTTTGAAGGAAAGGTTTCGTACCGTACCGGACGAGTGTGAGAGCCTGTTGACCGTGTAAGGTTGCTACCCGATCTTTTTCGAGCTTTGTAGCCAAAATCTACACAGCCTGGTGCTGTGATGCTGTTGAGCAGTTGGCGCCCTCGAAAGGTGTTATCCGTAATGCGCACCACAGTGCTGGGCATCCTGACCACTCGAAGATGTCACAGTTTTGCTACGCTTCAGCTCCAATTGCGTTGATGCCCGCCTCGACACTGACATGTCGCAAGCGTGGCACGGCAATAAAGGCACCCGCGGGGACGATTCCTGCCAGGTTTGTTGGAACTTGGACTGCTTGTGGGATGTCACGGTATGGGCGTCCGTCAAAGCTTTCCTTTGAATGGAGGAAAGCACGACAGTCCTTAAGCGCAATGGTAAACTGCGTGTTTGTTTGCAACACTTCCCATATCGGGTCTTCGAGATACGTTTGCATGGTGGGATGTACGAAGTCCAGCGTGCATCCAAAGACTTCGAGGTCAGTTACAGAGGCTAGATAGTCCACTACGTGGTCTTCTAGGTCCTCCAGCCTGTTGTGTTTGGCAACGCTTATGGTCATCTCAACCACTGAGCCCGACAGGGTGGTGAGCACCAATCGGCATTCCTTGACAGGCTCGCTCTCCCTGGATGAGACCTGGCTGGAGGCACTAGGGGTCGCCATGGGGTCTGACCGGTACAAGATCTCGCGGTTTGAGCCAGGGCGTCACTGCCACGAAACAGTCATGATGTCCTGCCCGTCTAGGTGCAAACAGTCCGCTAGCTACCTGACTGCTCAAGTGCTGCATACGAAACCATCTAACTGACGTATTTATGGACACGATAAGCCGAGATCGGCGGGGTTGAACTTCTGTGCCCAGGACAAGTGCTGAGGCACTCACCGAGGGTTAGCGCATTGCTAGTAGACAAGGGTACCCAGTGAGTAAAGTCCTTTATGGAGCTCTTCGTCGAAGGCATCCGAGTCAGTATCTCTCGGTGGGAATAGTTCAATCCAAGACTCTCGCTCAAAGTTGTCACACATCAGAAAGGTATTGTCTTCTGCTTCTACTACCCTGGCTGAGTCTTCTGCGTCTAGCTGTGTGAATAACAAGAGTTGGTCACAGCCACAGAATGCACGAATCCCGAGGTATCGAAGCATCGGCGGGATAACCACTTCCTTAAGTGATGTACAGCAGAGAAAGGCTTCCTTGCCAATTCGCTGGACCTTCGGAGGCAGCCAAATGTCGACTAGGGCGACACAATACGCAAATGTGGAACTCCAGATGGCAGTGATGTCTGTGCACATGAGATCTACCTCCACAAGCCGCTTGTAGTTTTCACCTGACCCTCTTTCCGTTTCACCTCGGCATGACCTACCTGAGTCTCCATTGCCGGCCGTGCTGTTTGTTGGTTTGTTTTGGGTTGGTTGTTTTGTTTTTTTGTGTTTCTTGTTCTGTCGTTGCCTCGGCCGGAGACTCATTCACAAGTAGCACAAGCTGACCTGTGCATTCTCTGCACACATGGCGGCTCCACTCGTGCAAAAAATAGGTCTTTTTTAAATCCTTTTGCTCAAGGTCAGGCGCCAGGATTCCAAAAACACGTTGGACGTCAGGGTTTTACTGAAACTGCAGGATTTCACAGGTGGAGATGCTGGGGTTGAGCTAGGATTTTTTGGAGATACTGGAGAGGACGCTTTTCGTGGACAGTTTTTTGTCAACCTCTTGCTGTACCCCAGCTCCGAAACGCACAGAGAAGCGGCACAATGCAACCAAACTTTCAAGCGCAACGACACCCTGCAGCGGGACCAGCACCTACGCTCCAATGCGCGCACGCCCACGCTTTTTGCAGCCTGGAAGCTTGTATCCATCGAAAAATATGTCCAGGGCGGATTCGAACCACAACGTCACCGAATCGCCGAGTGGCACCACAACGCCTAGTGGCTAGTGGTGCGTATGGGGCCATGTAATCAAGCAACAAACTCAAAGCAATTTACAGGCACATGTTTTGGAGTGGTAGCTGACAGAGAATTCGGGCCATGTCTTTGCAAAGACCAGAGCACCATATATGTATAAAGTAAAAACGTCTTTTACTTTACCATTTGCCAAGTAAAAGATGTCTTTCACTGAGTCAAGGACGTCTTTTGCTTCTTGTAGTTGCCGTTGTAAAAGACGTTCTTCACGGAGTAAAGTCCTGCTTTCCACCATTTCCACGAACAGTTTTTGGAGATCAACTTTTGCTGTCAGTTTTGCAGAAAATAGAGCCCAGTAAAACGAGGCCTTTGACTTGGAGGGTATGCGTTTGGGAGGGCACTGGAGGGACCAGCTAAGGATACCCAGGATTTAATTAAGCATTTGATGAGCCCGGACTCCTTGTTTTTTCCTTGGTTCCCAACCTCCTGAACACACGTTGGTCCAAAGGATTTTACAACAAGCACCTCTTGGGAAAAAAACCCGAGGGCACCATTGAAAAAAAACAAAGTCACCTTGGTTTTGTAGGATTTTAATGCGTAAAATCCTGGGGATCTACCTTAGCTGTCGGCACCAAGGGGGATGTGTGATTTCGTGGCAAGCACGGCATTTTGTGAACCTCGAAGTGCTGATTTCGTGGCAGGCGCAGCAGTTTGTGACTTCGAACTGCAGATTTCGTCGCAAGCGCAGCACTTGGTGAACCTCGAACTGCAGATTTTGTGGTGGGCGCACCACTTTGTGAACCTCGAAATGCAGATTTTGAAGCAGGCAGCACTTCAAGTGCAGATTTTGTGGAGGGCGCAGCAATTTGTGAACCTCGAAAGCGCAGCACTTTGTGCTCTCTCTTTCTCACTGCCTCACTGAACCTTTCATGGAAATTGCAGTTGAATGCCGGAACGGGATGTATCTTTGAACTCACAAGCGTGGGAAATTTTTTCACTGCCACCTTGACGTGGTGGATTCCACACAAATCAAGAAATGTAGAAAAAAAGTGATATCGAAACTCGTTCGTTTGACATCAAGGCTGGGTGTCAGCCTTTTCTTCACTCTTGCACACACATATGGATGTGACATGTAAACAGACTGTTGATGTCAGTGCGACCAAAGCGCAAGGTTCAAAACGAGCGTGCTCCCAAACAGTCCTACAAGGGTGTCTCACAAGATTTTCCTACAAGAGCGTCCCACACGAGTGAGTGTCATACAAGGGTGCCCGGCCTGCTCCTTCGTGGATTCGTGAACCATATTCCCCGATCGAACCGGTTCGAGAAACTCCGTCTTCACGACGGCTCCACATGTGTCTCTTGCTTGGCTTTGTGTTTTCAGCTGAGAGCCGGAGTTGGTGGGTTTTTGTGCAGTGTTTTGTCCTGCTTCCTCACCGCGTTTCGCAACAATTGCTTCTGCAGCTTCCTCGTTTTCCTTGGGCCCTGGGCGACGCTGGGTGTTACCTCCATGCGCGCTTCGACGGGAAAAATATGTGATAGTGGTTGCAAAACCATTTCATTTGTTTCATTCTTGTTGAACCGCGTAACTTTGCTTGTGCTAGGTCGCCGCGCGGAAACGTGTGCCATGTAAGGGTGAGACTCTTGCACTTTCTGAAACGCATCTTGTGCACCAATCCGTTCGTTGGTCTTTCATGAAAACCGGGGTGATGTGACCATTTCGTGAACCTTTCAGCAGGTCAATGCATCTTTTCCATCTCAAGGCGGGCGTGCGGTCGATCTTCGATTCGCACCCGGAGAGCAGCTTGTTTGTACGTATGTGATTTCACTCCTGGCCCTTCGCTCAACGGGTGTGTGTGGTTTCACAATGGCGACTGTACACTATACATGTGCACGACTTTCACCTTACTTTAACTCGTTTGGCTTAAAAACACCTGTAAACACATTCCGCTCCTGAATTGCTTCTTTGGTTTCGTGTTGTTTCTTTGTCTCGCAACACTCTCAGCGTCCTTCTGTCTCTCTCCTCTTTGGAAGCGGAAACATTTCATTTGGGGCTTAAAAGAACCTTTAGTCGCTGTGTTGGTGGTATTCTTCGAGTTTGGGGTTCAACAATAAATCATCTGGGGAGTCAAGAAATATTGCAGCTCCAAACATACCGTTTTGCAGTTTTTTCAAAGATATCCAAGCGCAAAAAGTGGTGGAGTTGCGCATGTGTTGGTTTAGAAATCGTGAAGTCTCCTGGTAGAGCCGACATGAATTTTGCTCTGATGGAGTGATGTTGCTCTGCACATTTGAGCAACACGGTCGTTTTGGTGGCAAAGAGGCCCACCGGACACTGTTGCAAGTGCCCTATGGTGCACTGTCCCATGTCTCCGGACAAAACATAAATTCTTTGTTGGTGAGACCTGATTGCTATGCCACAATCAGGAATTTTGAACGTGTTTCTGTTGCTGAGTCAGATGTGAGCAGCAGGCAAGTATCTCTCAATCAGGGCACGTGCACATGCTTTCGTGCCTTTTCATTAAGCCCTAATGAACCAGAAACACAAGACTCTTGCAGACATATTGGCAGCACATTTTCCTGAAACACCTTGCAATCTCATTCTTGTGTCTCTGTTGTTTTGGTTCACAGTTCTTCCCAACAGTGTGCTTTGCGGCTGCCCAGACTGCCCTGAAACCATGACGAAAGCCATCTTGGTGATCGGTCATGGACCGATTGGCCACTCTTTCATCGAGAAGATCACTGGAAGTGATGCCGCAAGCAACTACCAGGTTTCAGTCCTTTGTGAGGAGCCACGTCCAGCTTACAATCGCGTCATGCTCACGCAATACTTCGAGGACCGTGATGCTGAGAAACATGACCAGATGAAGCTGTCCTATGTTACAGAGCAGGAGTTGAAGGACCTCAATGTGAATCTGATCTATGGGCGCGCCATGTCAATTGACCGAGAAGCGAAGAAGGTCTCCTACACCAGTGCTTCTGGGACAGGAGCAACTTCCTATGATGTTCTGGTCTTGGCCACTGGGTCCTTCTGTTTCGTGCCACCGGTGCCTGGCATGACTATTCCAGAGAAGAAAAATGTCAATTGGCCTGACGATCCCGCTTCCAGACCAGAAGGTGTCTTCGTCTACCGCACGATTGAGGATCTCGAATCATTGCTTGCCAAGGCTAAATCTGGTGCAAAGCGGGCAGTGGTCATTGGTGGAGGATTGCTCGGACTCGAGGCTGCCAAGGCTGTGTATGACTTGAAGATGGAGAGCCATGTCTTGGAAATGGCACCATACCTGATGCCAACGCAGCTCAATGAAGCAGCTGGCCAAGTCCTAAGCAAGAAGATCAATGATTTGGGGGTTCATGTACACTGCGGAGTCCAAATCAAGCGTGTGGTGTTGGATGACGGCACGGTCACTGGCATTGAGCTCCTGGAGAAAGGAGAAGAGACTCCGACGGTGCTGAACACGGATTTGATCATTGTTTCCTGTGGTGTTCGACCTAGGGATGAGCTTGCCAGACAATGTGGTCTCGAGATGGGTGCCAGGGGTGGTGTCAAGGTGAATCCTTCCTTGCAGTCTTCGGACGAGAACATCTATGCCATTGGTGAGGTTGCAGCCATCGGTGGCAATATGTGCTATGGTTTGTGGGCACCTGGTGTTGAGCAAGCTGATGCCTTGGTGCAGAATCTGCAGCAGCCTGGAAGCTCGGAATATTTGGAAAGTGATCTGAGCACAAAGTTGAAGCTCTTGGGTGTCGAAGTAGCCTCCTTCGGCCGCAGTGCTGACTTTTGGTTCAAGCGCCAATTCGATGGGAAGGATCCAAAAGTGAAGTTCATCGACTCTAAGGATGAGATCAATGACACCTATCGCCGGCTTTGCTTTTCAGAAGATGGCTCCAAACTCATGGGCGGCGTTCTGGTTGGAGATGCCAAGGACTACTCCAAGCTACTTCAGCTTAGCAAGAAAGAGGACCTCGCAGGCAACGATCCCGCTGGCTTGGCCTTCAAACGGCCCCCGCCAGGCGCTGCAACTGGAGTGGCAGTTGACGGTGGTGACGGAACTGGCCTTGCTGATGATGACACGATTTGCACCTGCATTGGCCTCTCCAAGAGCCAAGTCCGCCAGGCGATTCGACATAGGGCAACCCCAGAACCAATTTCGAACATTGCAATGAAGGGGACTTCACAAAACTAGGTTCATGGATGATATGTCAGGCCTTGTCCGGGTGGACAGTTTTAACGCTATTATTCATAGTTGCATTTTCACTTGCATTGATTTCCTTAATTTGATGGCTTGCATGGCTTGCACAAGCAATCGCCAGGCCATCATCGAGAAAGAAGCCTACACCATTCCACAGATCAAAAAGGCCTGCAAAGCGGGTACTGGCTGTGGTGGCTGTGTCACACCAGTGGGAGAAGTGCCAAAGCTCCTGGCACACACTTTGAAGAAGCTGGGGAAAGCCACAGCCACCGGCATTTGTGCTCATTTCAGCTACTCCAGGTGCCCAAGCGTTCAAAGTCAGCCCTTTTACTTTTATGACCATAGGGCTCATACATAAGGAATGTGCAGCGGGTGCGCAGGGAGCAAAACACAAGGCCTATGGCAAAACGGTCCGCAAGGAACGCGCTCGTTTTCCGCGAACACTGAGTTCGACGTGCTGGGTGCACAAAAGGGGCCCCCCCTGAGCAGAAAGGCCAACATGCGAAAAAGGGTCAACTGCACATGCCGCTGGAGGTTCTCGCACCGGTAGAAAAACCTTCTCAGTCTTTGACTGACCTCAGCGGCTTTCGACCCAAGCTCTCTAGTGCTCCACGGCCAACCTTCTTGTTCTTCTTGGCGCTGTTGTGAAGCTCGGGTCATAGGCTATTGCCCAGGTCCAGGTGGTGAGGTAGCGGAGCATGCTATGCCTGCTGTCTTCTTTCTTCTTCATCAGGGCGTCGGCTAAGTCATAGTCGCTTGCCAACCACCTCAACTCACAGCCGGCCCGCTTGAGGTTGTCCCTCAACTGAAAGGCCTGGAGGGCCGACCTCATGTTTGAGAGGCCCAGCATGGGAGATTCGTTGATCTCCATGGCGTCGTAGCCGCCACGAGAGTCCGTGCAGAGCACGCCACGGACCAAGCGAGCAACAGCTTCCATCTTGTCCACCAGGTCGATGCCGCGAAGCTCCTTCACATCGAAGCTGGCGCCGTGGATCTCGGCCCATAAGAGTTGCTCTGACCCCAACGTCCTCAGCTTCCAGGATCGATCGGATCTCCGCGTCGTTGCTTCCAATCGCGCGACGCTTCAGTTTCCAAGTCCTCCATGCCAAGCAAGCTGCAGGAGCGGCTAGAAGGACCAGGCCGCCAGTGCTGCCACCCTTGCTTCTGTTTGCATGGCTTGACCCCCCATGGCGACGAACACGATGTCGTTCCAGCAATGGGTGTTGTCCAGGGCAAAGAACTCAAGCTTGGTGGACTGATTCCTTACCTCCTGTATCATGCGCTGGATCTCGCGCGCATGCTCGAGCGTGCCAGCAGTGGTGATCTCAGAGAGCAGGAGGTTGCATCTTGCCGTCAGGAGTGGTTGGCTTTATATCGCAAGCCATTGAAGACCTCCCAGGGCGAACTTGGAGTACCAGGCCCATAAACATCGCTCACCGCGGATTGCGACCGCGCCAAGCTCCTTGAAGCGAGCGTCCAAGGACAACCAAAGGCCTCGTGGAGCCGTAGTGCTGCCGTAGATGTTGCGCAAGATCCTCATGCAGGAGTTGTCTGGAATCTTGAGGGCCTCACGAAGTTCTGGTACCCCAGAAGTCCAGAGACGAGCATCAGCTTCTGTCGTGTGGTTTGAAGGAAAGCACTTGCGAGGTCCAAGCCAGTGAGCTTCCATTGGTAGAAGGTGGAGACCATCTACCAGTGTTGATCACAGGAGCACTGGTCTTGAAGTTGCGGTCAAGGAGATTGGGATGTTCAAAGCCAAGTACTGTAGAACAATTCTGGCTTTCGCCTTCTTGGTGCCCGTGTGATGAACCATTGTGCCCTCATTGTTCTGAGCATCGGCGAGGGCTTCAGCTTGTTCATCAGGAGGAATGGGTTTCCATACTACAGTAGCACCCATCGTGCTCGCAAAATGCGACCAGAGCCAACAGCATCTTTCAATTCAGCATCATTGAAACATCGACGCACGGCCTCATTCTTGAGAAAGGAGGACACTTCTTTGGCCTTGGCTCGATGAGGTGCTTCAAGTTCACCTCGGAGCTGTTGAGCTTCTTGGTGAGGAAGAGTACGGGGTTGTGGATGAAGTCCCGCTTCTTCTTGTGTGTGTTGAGGTCCACTCCGATCTCAATCGTGAGACATAGTCCTCAAGGACGTTGAAGATGTCATTGTGGGTGATCTCATGTTCTGCTTCTTCATGAAGAAGTTCCAGCTTGAGCTTCTTGTAGTCCGGTTCATCGACCGCGGAAGTGGCCTTCTTGTCGCCCTCAAAGCAAACCTTTTTGTAATCGGGCTCGTCAGCGGTGTTGTCCAAGGGAGGTGCAGTTTGCTTCTTGTCCTCATACTCATTCACCGGTCCTTCCTCCTCTGCGCTGGTGGGGTAGTACTCTTCGTCTGATACCTTCGGTGGAGGTGTCCGTGAAGACGAGGAATGTGCACCTTCTGGTAGAGGAACTGGATCTGGTAGATATTTAGGAGGACGTGGAGGCTTCTGTTCTTCTTGTCCAATCGGTGAGGATCGATGAACCTTCTTGTAGTCCTCAGGCCAGAGAGTGGACTTGCCAATAGCCCGTCGGATTGGAGCATAGGTCGCGCCATCAGGTTCTGGAGGTAGATCAGGGAGTTCTCGATCTTCAGGGCCAGGAACCTTGGAGGTGATATCAACATACTCACGTCGAGGAAGAACATCTTGAAGTGTCTTCCAACTTGAAGGATCTTCACCGGAGGTCAGCTCATAGTGAAGTCGTTCTGACTCTGTCACAGGTCTGACGGAGTGGACAGAGCAGCGCGAGAGTTTGCGCCCAACCAGAATCCAAAGGATATGCTGGCGATCATCTTCTTCACCTTGGTGAGGAACAGCCCAATGTGGACGTCCCGATTTCTTGTGGCCGCCTCTGGGACCTTGATGTTGTTCACCAACTTGTACTTGGCGCCATACCATCACCAGTTCAGTTGGCTTATAGCTTCGCAGTGGCTGTTTCACGGTGGTGTTGGTCAACTTACTCAGCACCCTTCTCGCACGAGATCTTCTGGCGATCTCTTCTGCAGCAAGACGAGCTTGGGAGACATTCACAAAGTCCAGTGCTGGATCAACTGCTCGCCAAAGTCGAACACCTTCATCTGAGATGGAGAGCTTTGCACCAAATGCCCACTGGTGTGAGGAGAAGCCAGCGGTGTACTCTGTGCTGTTCAAGGCCGATGTGGTCAGGGCCAAGGTGACTTCAGGCTTGTTCTCCATGGACTCTGTCTGAATGGCAGTTGCCACATGCTTCACATCTTGAATTGCCGCCTCGACAATTCCATGAGACCATGGTTCCTTCTCCGGAGGGAAGTGCAAGAGGATGTTCAGTTCCATCATGAACTCGTGGAAGCGGTTGGAGATGAAGCTTTTAGCATTGTCGGCCACGATCATCTTGGGCTTTGGATACTGTGCCAACCAGGCCATTGACAGAGCCCGGATCACTTCATCGGCGGAGAGCTCTGGGTAGACCTTGAGCAGGACAGCAACACGAAGCTTCGTGGCCAGATCTATCATCAAAAGAAATTTGCACTTTTGTCGTTGTCCCGGAATGGTCCATTCAGCCGTGTCTAAGCCGATTGCCTCCCATGCCTTGCAGAGTGAGTGGGTCGCTGCTGGAGGCACCTGACCAGGTGATTTGCTGCCAAGCTTCACGCGCAGCTTGCGCCTTCCAGGCCGGTGATCCAGAGTCTTTGACCAGTCGAGCCAAGTTGCGGCTCGTAGGATGTCCTGCTGCTCGATGAAAGTGGTCCAATCGAGCTTTCCATTGTTTCAACTCCAGCTCCGTGGGTTGAGGTTCAGCAGGATGTAGTGCGGATGAAGAGTCCTGATCTTGTAATGCAGGAAGTCCCCAATGTTGTTCTTCTGCAGCAAATAGCTCTTCCTCCAAGGTCATCATGGCTGGTACATCTTCCGTGGCGAAGAGCAACCGGTGGTTGCGGTCACTGATGAGTTCCTGTCGCCAAGCCATAGCGATAGACTTCACCAGCCGCCAGGGGTAATAAACACTCTTGGCTGTCTCAATGCCTTGGATGTAGGAGTGAGCATGGCCATCAGGACATACTCAAGCTCTGAACTTCTTGTGAAAGTAAGTGTGGACTGGTAGTGCGCACCATCCACTGCTTGCGAAGAAAGTCGCCTTCGCCATCCCTTTCTCTCAAGCCGAAGACACACCCGTCTATACGGCAAGGTAGCCAATCACGTCCATGACGTTCCAGAGAAGTTGGCCAGATGTTGAAGTGCAGGTTCTTGCCATCCGACACAAGGATATGGCCATTCGAAGAAAATGTCCATGTAGGGGTCCTCGATGATGGATTCTCAATGAAGCGAACAGCTTGCCAGAGCATGCGGCGTTCACGTCGCCGGTAGGAAGCAAGTAGCTCTTGACGATCCTGAGAGGCATAGTTCAATGAAGACCATCTGCACCACTTCGTGCAAGGAAGCGAGAACCATAGACGCCGAGGACGTTGTCGTCGGCGAAGAACACGTAGATGCTCCCAGGTCTCACGGCGGTAGAGGTCGTAGCCAGAGGAGAGGTTGATTCGCCTGGGATTCAAGCCTTGCTGTTGTGAGAGCCATGAGTGTGGTGAGCAAGCTATTCCCACGCCATTTCTGCCATCCATGAGGAAGTCAGCCGCCATTGAGGTCATAGAGGTCACATGGTTGCCACCATCATCATCAGCTTAGTTGCCATCGACCTTTTCAAGGTGTGAACTTTGTTCAGACTTCGCGTGTCCTCCTCTAGGTAGGCTGTTGGAAGTCCCTGAAGTGGAGTTGACTCGCTTATCAGCTCCCTCATCTCGCCATCCTGGAGGTAGGCCTTGAGGTCCTTCTCCAACTCTGATTCCGGATGGTTCTTCTTCGGAGTGGCTGTGGCTGATGGCACCATGTCCCAAGACTCCGGTGAACTTGAGTTCCCAGTCTGGCGCTGAGGAGGAGTAGCGCTTCCGGTCGAGATCGCGCTGAGTGGCATGGTCCAGCAGCTTCTTCTTCACCAAGGTGTTGAGGACCTCCTCGGCGTCGATCTTCGAATTCTTTTGCATCGCTAGGCAGATTTCGGCAGATGGTGGGGCCGAGTCCATCAGCTTCTTGACCCTCTCGGTGAGCGTTCTCAGGGTCATCGCAGGAGCGTCCATCTTGGTGTTCTGACCATGCCTCAGTTGCTAAGGCTTCTGCCGTTTGCTCAGCCTTCTGAGCTTCTTTGACCTCAGGGTCATTGGCCTCAGTCTTCTCTTCTTCCTGAGTCTCGGCAGCATAGCCACCTGCCCAGTCACCAGTCGCCCCAGTCATGCCAAGGGTCAGGTGAGGCATATAGAAGGCGTCCCAAGACCAATCATTCTCACCCTCGAGCTCCTCAGTCATGTGGAGTTCCTGAAAGTGCTGATGCCCGGATGTCATAGGCGAGGATGAAGTTCGAGCACCGGTGAATTGCTCGTCCCACAGTGTTTGGAGTGCCTTGTTCACACCTTCGAACTCTTAGGAGCCACGTGTGGTCGAGTGGATGTCCCTCCGTTCCTCGGCCGTCAGGGACTCCACGAACTCGGCGAAGCCTAAACATTTTCTCACCAGGAAGGAGGTCATAGGTTCATTGTGCCTCCTGCGCAAGTCAATATATTGTGCACAAATGGCTGAGGCATTTGGGATGCTCTGTCGGACAAGTGGGCTTGCAGCCAACCTCTGGAGAAGTGTTCGAGTGGCATTGTAGTACAGCAACCGAGCAGCTCCGGACAACTTTGCCAGCAGCTAGCGCCTCCAAGTTCGAGCCGTCCCATCCCAGGAAGGTACCTGGTAGTCGCCCTTGTCAGTCATGGTTCACTTCTCGATTTGCGCGGTCGAGAAACCCGCTTTGCTCTGCTCGAGAAACCCGCTCTGCTTTGCTAGGTGGAGAAAAGGAAAAACGTGGGGCTCAAAACAAATCCAAGTCAGGTCACCGCTCAGGCCAGTCCCGTTGGAGATGTTGAGAAGGAGCGGTGCCTCAAAGACAAGGAAGTAGGGCGGCGAAAGCACCTGCGAGGAGATCCAGTTGAGGATGTACTCAAACTCGTTCAGGAGCGCCGCCACCTAAAACCCAAAGGCAGGAGCCAAATGCTCCGCTGCCAATGCAGCGGGTGCGCAGGGAGCAAAACACAAGGCCTATGGCAAAACGGTCCGCAAGGAACGAGCTCGTTTTCCGCGAACACTGAGTTTGACGTGCTTGGTACACAAAAGGGGGCCCCCTGCGAGCAGAAAGGCCAACGTGCAAAAAAGGGTCAACTGCGCATGCCGCTGGAGGTCCTCGCAGAATGCCAACTATTGATATATATATATATGTTCTTTAGGAGCACGTGCCAATTATAAATTCGCAAATATGCTTTTGTTTGAATTGCATTTCCGGGAGTCCAGGACCTTCGATCAGTCACATCACGGTTTTTGGACTTTTGGACTTTGGAATTGTCGTCGCAGGTGTGACGAGTGATTTCACATGTGCTTTTCTTTGTCCAGGCGAGAGCTTTTTGATATCATCAAGGTGAAGGAGTTAAAGTCCTTTGAGGAAGTGCTGTCATCTGTGGGACAGGGTTCCTGCGACGGCTGTGAACTGTGCAAACCCATCGTGGCCTCGATCTTGTCAGGCCTTTGGAATGATCATGCACTGAAGGCCGGCCGGGACCAGACTCAAGACACCAACGATCGGTTCTTGGCCAACATCCAGAAGACTGGAACCTACTCAGTGATCCCACGATGCCCTGGAGGTGATATTACCCCCGACACACTCATCGCGTTTGCCACCACTGCCAAGAAGTATGGCCTTTGGACTAAGATCACTGGCGCCCAACGTTTGGGCATGTATGGTGCCAAGATCCATGACCTGCCGGACATCTACAAGGAGTTGGTGGATGCTGGCATGGAAACAGGACCCCTCGCAGAGTAGACATCGCTGTGTGAAGCCAGTTGCAAGGGATGCAAAAGTACCAAGCAAGGCCCGTAACCAAAAGTCAAGACATGTACGGACAGCGGTTGGGATTAGCCTGCGCTAATGTCACTAGAGGTTCTTGTTTGGGCTGAATTTTTCTGACATGTATAGAGCTGAGATAGAGTGGACTTGTCTAAGAATCGGCAACTTAGCAGTTCCAGTCATACGCTGTGTTTCTCAACTACTGTATACATACATACATGCATGCATACATACATACATACATACATAAAGCCACGAGTGGTCCAAGCCGGTCCAATACAAAGCCGGATACAGGAAGACCAGCCATAAACTCCCCGTCCTGTTCGGCACTGGACTCCATCTAACAACATTATGACGCCAAGCAAGACATCCAATTGGTGCAGAAGCTACACTCCATGTGGCAATTCCACATGCACCAACTGGATTTGGGACGACAGGCGGGAACAAGATGTCGAAAGTGTGGCGCTTGGTGGCAACATGCTCATCAACCCACTGGCAAAGGCAAGGGACAGGGCCACGGCGCACGAAGCAAGGCTTCCACCAAGGCCACATGGCCCCAGAAGACCTATGCTGAAGCACTCCTGGACTCTCCACCCGGCCTCCAAAAGCTCAGGCCGCTAAAGAAGGGCAAAAGCTAGCAAACGGCAGCTGACCTTCTTGCCACTACGTGGGATGTCATTTTAGGTGAGGTTCAAAGCAAACTCTAAGCCCTGGGATTTGCACCTCAATGCACTACCCAAGGCAGTCCAGGACGTGGTCAACAAGTTGACAGAAGGAGATTGCTCAGAAGTTGAAGACCCAGGTCACTGACCTCAAATCCATCTCCATCAAAAGGACTCAGTTGCAGGCCAAGCTCGATGCCATCAAGGCTCAATATGCTTCCATGCTGCAGGACATGCAAGAGCTCCAGACAAAACTGACGGAAGGCCAGCAGAAGTTGAAAACACTCTCCGAGCAGTACATGAAGGCTGTAAGTCAGAGCCCAATGCCAGAAGAGCTCACCAAGACTGCCGAGGCGGAACTCCCAATACCGATGGCAGTAGAAACATTCGTCTCCAGCCTGGTCATGACTGATGACCAACGCAGTCAATTGCACCGCCTGCTAAAGCGGCCTAGCATCGACGAGGACGAGCAAAGCAAGCGACGCAAAACAGAGGCGCCGGCAGCACTGCCACCAGGAGGACACTGTGAGTAACACTACCCCAACCTTCCAAAGGGACCGCTCAGGGATCATGGTGCCCGTCCCAAGGGACGGTTTTGATGATGATCCAAACACCGTATGGGTTTGCCGTGCTGCTTCTGACTCAACACAAAGGGGGCGGTCAGATGTTTGTCAAGGTGCAGGGGAACAGACAAACACCCTTTCTTTCAAGCACCGCCAAGGGACTTCTCAGACACAGGTGAAGGGGAGATTTTGATGTCTTCAAAGGTATTGACAGGGGCGTGGATGGACCTACGCTTGGGGCGCCACGACCAGCTGTCGTCTCGATCAAAGGTGGAGCACTACCAAGCAGCTCAACAGGCCATAGAAGCCAGGCCGCGCACAGGATGCAGCAAACCTACACATCCACGACTGAATGCATTTTACAGAACCTCTCCATGACAGTGGGTAACCCAGGTGCACGGTGCTACGCCAATGCACCCTGGCGAGCCTTCACATGGACATGTGCACTTTTGCAAGAGACCCACACCGAACCATGGGGAAACCTACAAGAGGCAGTGCAGGAATCAATGGAACTGGCAGAAGCTGTTGATTTGCATCAGCTCGCAGGACTACAACTTGAACATCCAAGGGGACGCCAATCACTTTGTCAACTCTCTGGAACTTGTCACAGACGAGAGCTATGCACTACCACATCCAGCAACCTATCTTGGTCGACTACCCCGACGACTGGCCGGAGACAACCACCTTGCATTGCAGGCAGGACCTCTACAATGGCTGGGCCAACACAGGCCTCGGACAATATCTCATGGATGACAAACCGGTCCTGGTCAGCCACATCACCAGAAACACATGCATTGATGGAGTGACAACAAAGCACAGCAAAAGCTTCAACACTTGTGGCACCTTCAGGGCACTACTTTGCCATCCTCATTTACCGCGAGATGATGGCAAACCACCGGTACACCTGGCACATTTGACACCGCAACTCGCTAGCCGGGTCACACAAATAAATCTGGGCAGTACATGTTGACACCTTCAGGACTACTCAACAAGTCCTGCAGACACTGCCACCGCCAGAAGAACCTGACTACGATCCAAGCCCAGAAAAACGGGCAAAACTGGAGCAGACCCACAACCAGCTCCACTACGCCAACGTGACCACGCTTGGGAAGCAGGTCATTGACTGGTACTGGACTCAGAGTAGGATCTACGTCATGGTCGAAACCCATTTGGATCCACAGAAACACCAACAAACTTGCCAGTACTTCTCGGTCAGAGGCCGGACAGCTTTTGGCACGGCGGCGTGGCCCAATGAAGACAACGCAGGCACGCATGGAGGCATACTGTGTTGGCTGATCCCTGACGGCCCTCGCCATCCAGGGCTGCGGGTTTCAAGCCTTCTTGTGGCAGGCTACGGAGCGCACCATCTTGGTGGCTTATACCTCAAGACAAATGAGAGTCTCCAAAGTGACACAAATGCCACCATCATTGCAAGGTTGTTGAGTCTCCTGCAAGCCACCACCCACCCGTATGTTATTGTTGGGGATTGGCAAAGCCCGCCCAGCAGCATAGCCAGCACTGTTCTCCCGGCCAAATTCCACTTTGACATCCTGGCCCCGGATCACAGCGTGCTGTCAGGCAATGTGATTGACTACGGGCTGCTGCGCAACTCACTGGCAGGCAACACGGCCCTGACCACCGATTGGGCCATCCCATTGCAGGAGCTCCAAACCAAGCTGGCAGAGGGACAAAAAACACTCAAAAGCCTCTCCGAAGACTGCATGAAAGCAGCCAACCAGACACCAGCGCCTGCTGACCTAGTTGAGCCTGCGGGAGAAACAGAACAGATCCCCATGGCTGTTGAGTTCTTTGCGCATAGCTTGGGCATCTCCCTGACGGAAGAACAAAAGTCCCAGCTTCATGGGCTCTTGAAGAGGCCTAATCAGGATCCTGATGATCCAACCAAGCGCCGGAAAACTGATGCCACAGCGCCTCCCAAAAGTGGACACTGTGGGTAACACCCAGTTGATTTCTTTTGCACAGGGGCGGACCTTCCCAGTACCGGACGATGACATACCGTCATGTGATTGCTCAGAAGGTCAAACAATGGGGACAACCAACGTTGCAGGGGAACAGCAACTTCTTACTTTTCCGGACAGCTCCAGAGCCCAGTTTTGTTCACACCTCGCCCTCGCCCCATGGTGGCTGCTTGAAGCTTTCTCCTGACTCCATCCAGACCACCTTTGAGAGCCTGGGCGGCGGCAGTCCGATCATGAGTACAAATGAATGTGCCTCAACAACAGACTTGATCTTGCAGAATCTCTGCGTGATAGTGGGAAATCCCAGCTCAAGATGCTATGCCAACGCTCCTTGGAGAGCATTTTGCTGGATGTGTGCCTACCTCAACCGCGAACCCTGGGGCACCATCAAGGAAGCGGCGCAAACATCACTAGAGCTGAGCGAGCCAGTGGACATCAAGACCCTGCCAGGCCTCAATGACCTGTGGATCAAACATGATCTCAACACCGAAGGGGATGCGGCCCACTTCGTGAACTCTCTGTGGTTGAAGTCCCAAACTAGAGTGATGCAATACAGGTACTCTGAGATCAAAAGGAAGGTGGCTACATGGCTGAGCATATCCAACTCCCACTGATTGTGGACTACCCCGACGAGTTTCTTGATGAGATAACGTGGCAGGAGCTGATGAACTGCTGGGCCAACCAAGGACTTGGACAGTTCTTGGGAGATGACAAACTTGTCATTGTCAGTCACATCAACCGGGCGGTCACCATTGAGGGTACCATCACAAAGCGCAAGAGGGCGCTCAATCAAGGTCACTCGACGGTTTCTCGTGGGCCAGCTCTGAGTACCTGCCGATAGCCTACATCTGCCACAGAGGCCCCACACATGACCCCGAGCACTATTTCGCGATCCTCGTCTACAAAGACCTCATGTGGATTGCTGACGATGGAGGCGCTCCCAAAGTCCTCCATTTCTTGACCCCACAACTTGCCGGGCAAATAGTGCAAGTTTGGGGCATACAAACATCTGCGCTGGTGACACCGAGACAAATAGCCAGGGCACTCCCTGAGCCGGAAACTCCGGATCACGATCCGCCACTTCACACCGCCAAAGAAGGCCAAGTTTTCGCAAGAGTCAATGCGCGTCCACGTGGCCAACATCACATCCTTCGGCAAGCATACCTTGGACTGGCTATGGAGCAGGGACAATGAACTCCATGTCCTAGTTGAGACGCACCTGGACCGACAGAAACATTCCTCCATGTGCCAGTACCTCGAAGTTTGTGGACGACGTGCCTTTGGCTATCCCCTGCGCATACCAACAGCACCAATGATGGCAACCATGGTGGCATCCTTGTGCTCCACGACACAGCCCATGGCATCTCCCAAGTTGAGCACTATGACAAGGAAGGAGGCGGATACCAGGCCTTTTTGTGGGAAGCCAAAGCACGGTCCATTCTGGTGGTGGCGGTCTCTTCAAGACAAACGAAACCATTCAAGGACCCACAAACTCACAGCTGCTAGCACGCATCCTTGCGCTCCTGCAGGCCTCCAACATGACAATTCATTTTGGTTGGTGACTGGAACAACCATCCAGAGCAGTTTCAACGTACAGTCTTGAGTTCCAAATTCCATTGGCAGATTCTGGCACCGGATGCACGATGCTCAATGGCAATACGGTTGACTATATGCCATGATCCACCAGAACCTGGCCACACATACCTCCATGACCACGGAGTGGGCAGTCCCACGGCGACCACATTGGCTGATGACCTATGCTCTTGAGTTGGATGAGGACTTCAGGCATTCCAACCAGCTCCGGACCTTTCCGACCCTACCCACAGTGCCAGACATAGGGTTCCGCCCTTGGAGCACATATGTCTCCCAAGTAGAAGACCTCACTCTCTACGATACCATCCCCAATCAGGCTGCAAGAAGCTTGGCTGACTGGATCTCCATCACTGAACAATACTTGCTCCACCAGCATCCGTGGGCTCACAGGGCCGGGACGGGCCTATAACCTCACAGCCCTGCGCCAACCCTTGGTTCCCGCCAAGTCCGGAGCCATGTGCAAGAAGGGCAAACCAGCTTACTGGGAGCAGTTACAAGCCCGACTGAACATCATTCAGAACCAGCGATGATCCACCGATCCAGACAGTCATGAGGGACTTGGGCATAGACCATTCTGCTGCCCGTCGAAGGAGGATAGCCACTTTACAGCAAAGATTCAAGAAGAATCGGCAGAGGCGTATTCGCCTACGAACTCTCAAATTGCCCAATCTCAAAACCAGATTGAGGCTTCTCAGAGGAGGGGTTCGAAGGCCAAGGCCTCGCGCCGCACTGAGGCAGGCCCTGGCCACCCATTTGGGACTGCGCAAAGCGGACAACCAGATGTCATCTATGACTCATGACCAGTTCAGCAATTAAGTACCTCGACCCCGGAGACCAGGTAGTACTGCAGCGCATCCATGCCCTCCACACCCTTGTTGCCACATGGCCTCAGGAGCACCGGCCACACATCGAAAAGGCATGGATCGAACTCGGGGCCCACTTGAGCAAGCAGCATCGCTAAAGGATCCATGGCAGCCACTTTGGCCTACCTGAAAGAATGGGGCTGGACCACAAACAACCTCTTCAGCTGGACAAGATACGAGACGGCTTTCGTGACAGAAGCACACACATCAATCTCGCTGATGATTGGTGGGTTGCGGAGGACACCATCCTCCAAGAAGCTGCCCAACAACGAACTAGCAGGTTTGCAGCCAAGAAGAACTGCCAAAAGTTGGTGAGTGGGCTTGACTGGACGGTGGCCCGCCTCGCACAAAGGAAGCTCTCTGCCACTCAGAGCGCCCATATTCGGTCATGGACTCAGGCTGCAATTCACTACAAGCATGGGGACAAGCCAAAGCCATGCCCTCTTTGCCACGTGCCAACCACACCAAAGCACATCATTTGGCTCTGTAAGTGGCACCACCAGCAAGCACATGAGGCCCTCCCTGTTTCGTGGACCGAACGACTCCAGGATCCGCTCGGGGAATGGATTCCGAAAGAGGCTGAGGATCACCTCACCCAACCGCTTCCCCTCCAGGGCCACAGCTGTTGGCAAAGCCTGGAACCACTCCGGCCATGGCCCCACCTCTCGAGACAAACGAGCACAGGCCTGGGTTTTCGCGTTTTGCGTTCACACCTTTTCTCTGGGCACCTTGCTCAGGAAAGGAACCATCACCGGCATGCCACAGGCCTCACCGACGACTGACCCGGAGATAGATGCAGGAGAAGCTGGCGACCACTACGCAGTGGATTTCTTCTGAGAAGATCGCCGCCAGTGAGCCAAAGGCTAGAACAAAGCCACAAGGGCACCCGACAGAACACTTTAGAAGAAAAACATACATACATACATACATGACATGACATGACGTGACGTGACGTGACATGACATAACATAACATAACATAACATAACGTGACATAATGTGTTGTATTATCCCCTTTAAAATTCCCCCTACAGATTAGTGCTACCTGGGTACTCCCGAGCACCTATTTTATAGCGCTATAGAATTGAGACACTCAGGTTCCTTGATTCTAAAAGCAGACCACGAGATACCACGGGAAGTTTCCGACAAGGGTGCAATTTGACCTAGTTGACCTGGGGGTCGTGATTCTAAAGTGATAGAACCCTGAGATCTATGTTTCCGTGAGCTTTGTACTGGTGACATGGGGACTTTGATTTCTTAGTGGCAGACATGTTGATGGTCATTGAGTGTTTTTTTTGCGACAGTCATTTTTTGAGTGCTCTTTCACCTTTTCTCTGTTCTTTCAACTTTGTGCTCTGTCAACTTTCCCGTGGAAGATTCATGATGAAAAAACTTTCCCGTGGAAGGCTCATGATGAAAAAGCAAGCACATATAGCATTATAAGGAATCGGTCTGTGAGATGGGGGTTGTGATTCTTTAGTGTTGAAAACTTCATACATACTTTCCGTGAGCTTTCACTTCACGACATAGGGGCTTTGATTCTATAGCGGGCGCATGAGTTGGGGGGCATGATTTTATAGAGACCCCCACATGGGGGGCGTGGATCTATAGTATGAAATGGTGCTACCCAAGTAGCCATATGAATTTCAAAGGGGATGTTGTATTGTAATGTAATGTAATGTAATGTAATATATTGTATTACAATGTAATGTAACGTAATGGTAACGGTACGGTACGTAGGTATGAATGTATGTACGTACGCATGTATGTATGTGTGTAATTATCTATTTATCTATCTATCTATATATATATTGTTTAAAACAATCTATCTATCTAGCTATCTATCCATCCATCGATCTATCCATCTATCCATCTATCCATCCATCTATCTATCTATCTATCCATTGTACATAATGCTCTTTAGCTTTGTTAGCATTTCGCTTTGATATCCACAGGTGGGATTTGGTTAACTGGCATAGAGTGTGGAGACATCGTGGTTGATTTACGTATTTGTGCATCGCCGTATCACATGTTCTGATCAGGACAAGCCTATGGAAAAGCCTTGCGCACAGTGAAGAGCTGCGTGGGAACCAGTTGGTGCCGCTATGGACAGCAGGATTCGGTGACTATGGCTGTGACAATGGAGAACCGGTACAAAGGTTTGCGCGCCCCTCACAAGATCAAGATGGCAGCTTCGGGATGTTTGCGCGAGTGCGCCGAAGCCCAGGGCAAAGATGTGGGCGTCATCGCCACGCAGGCAGGTTACAACCTCTATGTTTGCGGCAATGGCGGTGCCAAGCCTGTGCATGCAAAGTTGTTGGCCACTGACTGTTCGGTGGAGCAGGTGTTGAAATACACCGACCGGTTTTTGATGTTCTACATTTCCACAGCGAAACACTTGCAGCGCACAGCCCCCTGGCTAGCTGAGCTTGAGGGTGGCATCGAGTACCTCAAGAAGGTGGTGATTGAGGACTCTTTGGGCATTGGTGCAGACTTAGAAACCATGATGGAGAAGAACCGCAGCAATGAGAAGTGTGAGTGGAAGGAAGTGGCTTACGATGAAGAGCTTCGCAAGAAGTTCAATCAGTTTGCCAATACCGATGCGACGCATGACTCTGAGCAAATCGAGTATATCGATATGCGCGGCCAGCGGCATCCCAATGTCTACAGCCCCCCTGACATCACTGGTCCGGCGCTCTACACAAAGGAAGAGGCCAAGGATAGTTGGGAGTGGATCTTTTCCGGACTTGCTGCAGACTACCCCAAGAATGGTGGCCTCAGTGTGAAGCATGGCACGCAGGAACTTGCGGTCTTTCACCTCCCCCAACAAGCTCAAGAGGATCAGTGGCTGGCAACCCAGAACCTGTGCCCACACAAGCAAGCTCGCAGCATTTCCAGAGGTCTGGTAGGAGCGCAGCCGAATGGGACCTTGACTTTAGCTGATCCCATCTACAAGACAACCTACAACCTGAGAACTGGCCAGGGCATTGGAAACCCGAACTTCAACCTCTCTACCTTCCAGACAAAGGTCGAAGAGGGGAAAGTCTTTGTGAAGGTGCCTCCCAGCAGTGAGATGGAAGAAGCTTTTGAGAAGATCATCCGAGCTTCTTTTGAAGCTGATGGTCGAGAATACAAGAAGAAGGTTGGTGTCCCCGTGACTGGCACCAAAGACTTGTCATGGTGAGCAAAGAAACTCCAGCCATACAAATTTTGTGGCGCCTGTTCTGAGGGAGCTGGCGTGAGAGCAGTGCTTTGCTTCATGGGACCTTGCATGGAGTGCAGGACCCATGAATTGTGCAGGTGTTGCAGAACGACTCAGAAATAGGCTGCAAACGAAGCACCGCAGCCGCTCTCCAAAACGGTGACGTGAAGGATGTCTTATAGTAATAGTGTTGGATTCTGAGATCGACCCTCTTGGGGACCCAATGGCTGACATGTCCAGAAGAAAAGCTTTTCTTTGTTCCAAAATTCTTCGATCAAAGGAGTGCTGTGCATGGAACATCTCACCTCGCGGATGTTTGGCTTCATCCACCCGACGAGACCCGAGGACCTGAGGACTCACTGGCAGTCGCCAAGCAACTGCATGCGTTTTCGCACTCCTTCAGAGCCAAAATGGTGTGAAACCCAAGATTCACCACTACAACTCACAGGAAAATAATTCCCAATTTGGAAGATCATTTCCCTTTTAGAATCCTTCCCCTTTCTTCCAAAGAACCATTTGCAAGCGGGGAAGGAGGATTTTCACCAACCTGACCGTACCAAGGCCGGCGCCGGACCAGCGCCAGACAGTCCGGTGACCGGAACGACCGAACCAAACACGAACGGCCGGCGATCGACGCAATGGCGTGATGACTTGGCCTGGAGGCGCCGCTGGGTTTGGGAGAGGTTGCTGGGTTGGTTGCGGAAAAGAAGGTTTTTTGTTTTGGGGATGTTTGGACTGGAGGGCGGGCCGTTTTGAGCCCAAAACCAGTCCATGTTCAATGTTCGTTGACACCAGAAGCCAGAGAGAACATCAAGCAACTATAAGGCTTTCATGACCCGTACACCCTTGATCGACGGCCTTTGGAATGCGTTTGAAGACGGTCGCGTTCCTTAGCAGGCTTTTTTGTTTTACTGTCAAGCTTTCTTCAACAACCGTGTCAACTCCAAGAACTTGTGTTGCTTCATGTTGTTATGAGTATCTGCGCAGCATCACACACAACTGTATTGCCGCCAACCATTCTTCAGTTTCTTTGATACGCGCTGGCAGCAGTGCCGAGACCAAGCCGTTGTCGGACGGAAGATTATCATCGATCCAGAAACCGTCATCGATGGTTCCACAGCACCACCGTTTTCATGGCATCATCGTCGTTTTTTTTTCTTCATGGCTTCTGCTTCTTCAAGAGAACAGGTGCTTGGCAAGGTGGACATTCCTTTCATTGAAAGTGGTCTATGCTTGCGTAGTAGCCGGAAGCCCATTTTGTGATTCACGGATTTGAGCCCCATTGGTTTGGGCATGTTCGCTTGGCATGCTCGTGATCCGCCCGCTGCTGTTTCATGCTTGTACAGCGCTTGAGCTGCATGGCCTGTGGTAAAAGGGTTTCTAGGCAGGAGAGCTTCCACGACGGTCGCAACCCCCCTAGATTCCGCAGTGGTAGCGGAGCCCTTCGGGGCTAGGGCACGACAACAGCAGCAGCCACTCACGCAGGTGCATTCGAGCGATTTCGGCCGGCTGCTCCTGCGAGAAGAGAACTTCGCCTACAAGCAGGACTCGAACGAGCAGGACTTGGACGACAACGCCAACGACAAGGTCCTGAACACCCTCTGGTCAAGTACGCCTTCGAGAAGTTTTGGTGCAAGTTTTGAGGGCTATGGCATCCTCAACGAAGGAATGCGGGCATGGCTATGCCGGTGGTTGGTCGGAGAGTGGCTTCGACTCTTCAATCCCTGTTTGGGATGGAAGGGCTGATAGCCTTAGGGAGTTTCGCCGAACGGTGAAATGGTGGCTCACCTTCATCGACCTGGAAGACGAAGAGCTTCAACCTGGCAGCTCGGTTCGCCATGAAGCAACGAGGTGCGGCAAAGCTGAGGGCCCTAGAGTTCCAGCCTGAGGAACTGGTCTACACCCCAGCTGAGGAGGTTGATGACCCCGACCATGATGGGGAGAAGCTGACGCTGAGTCCGGCAATCTACGATGCCGGAATCCAGAAGATCTTGGACGCTTGGGACTCCATGGTGGGACGCACGGTCTCGGACCGGAAAGGTGAGCTTCGCGAGCGCTACTACATGAACATGAAGCGCGGCCCGGTGGAGTCGGTGGTGAACTTCGCTCTCCGCTACCGGAACTTGGTGGCTGAGATGAAGGCCGACAACATCACCTTGGACGATGCCGAGGTGGCCTGGTTCTTCAAGCAGAAGCTCAACCTGACGGAGATGCAGAAGCAAATGCTGGAGACGACCTTGTCCGGCATGACTGAGGCCTATGCCGATGTGGAGAGGATCCATGGAGTGGGCAATCCATTGGCCCACACCTCAAGCATCCCCCGAAAGCCTTTCGGTGGTCTTCAACGTCAAGGTCACAGACTTCAACAGTGGCGAAGAGGATCTACAACGTCTTCTTTGGCTTCTGGCTCAACTTCAACGTCTACGTCGTCTTCATGGTCCAGAGGTAGCAGAATGCCTTTGGGAGCATTCGCTGTGAATGTGACGGAGCAGGAGTTCGAGGATGAGCACGGCATGGAGCCTTCTGAAGATCATGAGGTTCAGGAGGTGACACCTGAATGAGCCTGAACCTGGAGCTGAAGGAGAGCCGCTTTTGGCCCTACAGGAGGAGATTGAGGTCATGGCGGCGGAGTTGGAAGCCGCTGCACAAGAAGGTTGGCCGCGGGTTCCAAATCTGAGCCGCACCGATACACCGATACACCGATATCCCCCCAGCCTTGGATATCAGCGTATCGGCGCTGCACCGATATCCCCCCAGACCCGGATATCGGCGTATCGGCGCCGCGCCGATATCCCCCCATCTGCAGACAGACCCGGATATCGGCGTATCGGCGCCGCACCGATATCCCCCCAGACCCGGATATCGGCGTATCGGCGCCACACCGATATACCCCCAGACCCGGATATCGCGTGTCGGCGCCGCACCGATATCCCCCCAGACCCGGATATCGGCGTATCGGCGCCACACCGATATCCCCCCAGACCCGGATATCGGCGTATCGGCGCCGCACCGATATCCCCCGAGGCCCGGATATCGGCGTATCGGCGCCACAGCGATATCCCCCCAGACCCGGATATCGGCGTATCGGCGCCGCGCCGGTATCCTCCCTGCCCCGGATATATCGGCGCCGCGCCGATACTGGGTTGCCGATTTCTACATGTAGAACTTAGACTTGTATCTTAGTTATAAGTCAGTTATGGCCTTTTAAAACGCAACTTATCACTTCTGTAACCTTCTAACCTCCGCTAACTTGTGTTCTCGAAGATATAACTAAGTTACTTTACTGTACTTATAAGTAGTGATAACTATTTATAATTTCCATAAGTTTTTGAGCCTCAACGACAGAACTCAAAAATATGAAAGCCTGAAAACTTATTTAAGTTACCAAACTTGTCGTGTTTCGTGTTCAAGTTTGTGGGAAAACAGTTTTTTGCTGTTTTCTAACATTTTCATGCGTGTTCGCCAGACGTTGCGTTACTGCGTATATATATATATATATATAGTAACTGTGTGTGTGTGTGTTGTACGTCATCTGCGGCTCTTTGGGCCGCGCGTTGGCGGCGCTGTGTGCTGCCTCTGCGGCTCTAGGTTGCAAGATTTCTTGGCCCAACTGGTGCTCAAAACTTTTCGGTTGAGCTTTGGGTTGCAAGATTTCTGGACCTAACTGGTGCTCAAAATTTTGCGGGTGAGCTTTAGGTT